GGAGCAATATACACGTGGAGAGCCACAAGATCTGGTGAGAAGCTGTGAACACATGACCCCAGAGAGAGAGGCTACAGAGATAGCTGCTTAATAAGCAATATGCCGATAATTTAAAAATAGCCATGGCTTACACCGAGAAGGCTTTAAAATTACCACAAATAAAGGCAGATGATGTTAAGGGCTTAAACGCTTATTCTCTCTTCCTGATTGGTTGCTGAAACACGATGCAAGATGTTGACTAAATGACAGAAATGGACAACCCAACAAACATGAGAGTCATTCTGTCCAAATTGCCATATAAGATGAGGGAGTGATGGCAGAATGTGGCATTTCAAATGCAGGAAGCCAGAGGAAGAAGAGGGAGGTTCAAAGATCTGGTAGATTAGATTGATAGACAAACAAAGACCATCTCAGATCCATTGTTTGGTGATCTCCAGGAAGTCAGTCTATCTACAAAACAACAAAAAAAGGCTGTTTTGTGTGGAAAGCAAACAAAAATACACCAAGGAGCAGCAGTTTTGCTACAAGTGTTGACACAGAAAATTTCACAGTCACACCAAATCACAAAGACTGATAATGCCAAAGCATCTCGGAATAACCGTTTGTACTGTGACAACAACCACAGTCTGGACAATTGTGAAACATTCCAGAAGCAAGCACACAAGGAAAAGATTGAATATTTGAAATCTAAAGGTTTGTGTTTTGGATGCCTTGTTTAAGGTCATTTGAGTAAAGATTGTTCAAGAGCACTGACATTTCAGGTATGTTTGTGGGAACATCAAAGCATCCTACATGTACAAAGAGAAGAAAAGACATCATATAAAAAAGAAAGAAACATCCCTTCTGAAACTCAGAGCACTACAGCTGTAAGCCAGGAGATGTGTGGATACACTTGGGCCGGAAGCAAAGAAGAAGTTTTGGCCATTGTTCCGGTAAAACTCAAATCCAAAAAAGGCACAAAAATAATTGAGACATACACCTTCAGAGATCCTGGCAACTCAGCTACATTTTGCACAGAGAAGATCAGGAGAGCGCTGAACTTAAGAGGCAGAAAGACTGAGATTTTGCACCGAACTATGGGACAGGAGAAGCTTGTCCATAGTCACATCCTGTCAGAACTGGAAGAAAAATACATTGATCTACCTTCAGTGTTCACACAGCATGAAATTCCTGTCAAAAGGGCTAACATTCCAGATCAGAAAGACCTCCGGAAGTGGTCATATTTGGATGAGGTCCATCTTCCAAGTATCAAGGAAGAAATTGGTCTGTTGAACAGTGCTAATGATCACAAAGCAATAGAGCCATGGAAAGTCATCAACAGCCAGGGAGATTGTCCATATGCAGTGAAAACATCAATTGGATGGATTGTCAATGGTCCTGTGAAGGGAGAAGAGGACGTTCCACACGGTGAGAATGAGTTGCAAAGGTTAACTGTGAACAGGATGCAGTGGCAAGCATTGAGGAATTGCTGACACAGCAATATAATTGGGATTTCACAAAGCATAGCTGTAAAGACAAAACAGATGTCACAAGATGATCAGCAGTTCATGAATCATGTGGAACAGTCTTGTCAGTTCATTAATGTACATTACTGTATAAGTCTCCCATTTAAGAACAAGTCTCTGAAGATGCCTAATAATCACGGTCTAGCTGAGCAGAGAGCCATCAATCTCAAGAAAAGGCTCATAAAGAACCTTTATAGTCATGCTTACTATAAAGCTTACATGTCTGACATTGTAGCAAAGGGTTATGCTGACAAGGTGCCTGCAGACAGTCCGCGCAATGACGGAGGTGTGGAACATCCCACTTCATGGGGTGTAACATCCAAAAAAAGAAGATCAGAGTTGTCTTTGACTGCATTGCAACATATCAGGGAGTTTCACTGAAGAACCAGTTACTTCAAGGCCCAGACCTCACAAATACTTTGAATGGAATGTTGATAAGGTTTAGAGAGGACAAGATTACACTGATGGCCGATATAGAGGCAATGTTTTACCAAGTCAGAGTACCAGCCAAGGACTTTAGTTTCCTTTATGAGGCGGAATCTGAGTTGCCTACAAGACCTGACATACCAATCACCATGGAAGAGGACAGTGAGATCAAAAAGACAGCGCCAGTCAGTCTCTTGACCATGGCTGAAGTTACACCTATGAAAAAGCTGGTGGAATAATACTATGACTGGCACAAACTGAGAAAAGCTGTTGCATGGATGCTATGCATGAAAGACCTACTTCACTACCTTGTTGACAAGTGAAAAGAGTATAGAGATTGCTGTCCTGAAAGAGACAGGAACATTGAAGCAGTCCCAGAAAGTGCATGAAGAAATGATGGGACTGAGAAAGTCAGTGAAAAGAAAACCTTTGTCTGTGCAGGACCTGAAAGATGCAAGTGGTGCTAATACGTCACATTCAAAGATAGATGTATCCAGAAGAATTGATTCACTCTTAGGTAAGGATTCCAATGTAAAGAGATTCAATCAATTTTCCAAATTAGATCATTTTCTGCACGATGTCATCATCAAAGTAGGAGGTCGATTGAACAAATCAGCCATGCCAGAGGAAGCGAGATGTCCAACTGTGTTGCACAAAGAACATCACATTACTAGGCTAATTCTGCAACATAGACATAGACAAAATGGTCACTGCGTAAGGAACCAGCTGATTCCAAAGGTCAGGCAGCAGTATTGGATACCAGGACTGAACAGGGCAGCCCGGACAATAATATCGAAATGCATCACATGCAAAAAAAATACATGCAAAGCCTGCAGTCCAGAAAATGGCAGACTTATTGGAGGAGCGTGTACTTCCAGACAAGCCTCCGTTCACACATGTGGGAGTGGACTACTTCGGACCTTTTGCTGTGAAAAGGGGATGCAGCATAGTGAAGCGCTATGGTGTAATGTTTACATACTTTACACTTTACATTACTTTGCACTGAGGGCAGTCCACATATAGGTTGCTCACTCTTTGGATACCCCATCATGAATAAATGCCGGCAGAAGATTTATATGTAGAAGAGGTCAAGTTTGTACTCTGCACTCAGATAATGGCATCAATTTATTGGCGCTGAAAAGGAGCTTAAAGAAGCCATAACTGAGCTGGATCATTCTAAAATAAGAGAAGAGCTGATGCCAAAGGGTATCTCATGGACCTTTAACACACCAACTGCCTCTCATCAAGGTGGAATATGGGAAAGACAGATTCGTACTGTCAGAAAGGTGTTGAACTCTGTTTTGAAGCAACAAACATTAGATGATGATCGTCTTCACACCCTATTATTTGAGGTGGAAGCAATCATAAATGATCATCCTTTGACTGCTGCATCAGAGGATCCAAATGACCTGGAGGTTTTGACCCCAAATCATCTTCTGCTGTTGAAGAAACAGCCGATCCTTCCTCCAGGATTGTTTGACAGTAATGATACGTACTCACGTCGAAGATGGAGACAGACCCAATACATGGCCGACTTGTTTTGGTCAAGGTGGACAAAGGAATATCTTCCATTGCTACAAGAGCGGCAGAGATGGCATTGTTGACAGTTCAGCCCCACGAAACGCTTGGTTGACTGGAAGAATCCAAAAGACCTTCCCGGACTCCAGGGGAATTGTGCGATGGGTTCGACTTCAAACCAAGTCTAGTTTGTTAGACAAACCTATAAATAAACTTTGTCTATTACAGGAAGCAGAATGAGTAAGAAAAGACTGTTAGTTGTCTCAAAGGCAAGACCTGGATAGATATTTTGTTAGGTTAATAACTTTATGGCTCTTTTTAAATTGTAATTGTTATACATCCTGCCAATACAATTAGGAGCCGGAATGTTTTGAGCCATAAATGGAAAATATTTAAGTTATTTGGATTATAGTTTACCTTTTGTTTTTGTTGTGCTCAGTGGAGGGACTGATATTTGTTCAGGTCATTTTATTGAGGTTTGGTTTTATTTTGAAAGGCTCACTTCCTGTTGTGCTCCATTGTAACAAACTGGACTGAGTGTTTAGACATGGAGCAATACAGTTTTTGACCGTGTAAATTGTGTAAGAATTGGAAGAAGAAAACAGAAGTGTCATTTTTCTTTTACAGATTTTATAGATAAAGATTTTACATTAAATCACACGGTTTTACACGTCCTTTACTTTTAGTGTTTAAGGAACAGCCTTTCATATCAGTAGGGGTGTTCTAAAATGTTCCAAGACATTCTAAGATGTTCTTAGATGTTTTTAGATGCCACCGACCCTCCCTGTCTGGTTAATGGTCTGATCAAACACTCTGCTGATCGTCATGCTGCACCATGAATGATCCCTGAGTGACGACTGGAAGTAGGAAGAGTCTTTTGACGACTTGTTTAGAATTGAAATCTGTTCGACTTGGACCTAAAAGAATTTTGTTAATAAACTCTAATATTTCAATAGAAGCTGAATTTATTCCAGTTATATGCAGAATTATCTGTCAGACCAAGAGTTGAGCTCCATTCACACGTTTTTCTGCTGTTCTAACACACAGCCAGAAGGGGGCGTGTTCACAGAACAATATATGAACAAGCTTATAGCAGGCAATAGATGATTAGTGGAATGATAATGTTAGCTCAAGTCCTGCTGCAGGGCAAAGAGGACAAAGGTCAGATATCTGGAGGGTTAATGATCAGATGTTCAGTCTGGTTCTGGTTCTGGTTCTGGTTCTGCTGGATGCTTTGGGTTGTTCTGTTTCTATACTCAAATATATCTGAGTTCTAAAACCCAAACTGGATGAGGAACCAGAAACATAGATCTGTTGATGTTGTTAAGGATAGAGATATTAAAGGTTCCTGCAGAACCAGAAACATCAGGATCCACTTGCAGGTTCCTGGTTTCCACTCAGGTCTGCCTGTGGGAACTAGTACCCATCCAGTCTTGGTTCACAGGTAGACTATAGAGCAGGAGTCACCAACATGGTGCACCCAGGGGTCCTGGGTGCTCAATGGATCCAAACAGGTTAGGAAGGAAACAGAACATTAGCCAGAACACTGACCTCCACACATGATGTAGTCCCTGAAGAACGGCACTCGGAACCAGAACGGCAGCATCAGAAGGTGAGACCTCAGACCCGGAAACAGGCGGGAGAACCCTGTGGCCTCCGTGCAGAAGTTCCCAAATCCACCGGCTACCAGAACCCCTGAAAGAGAAACCGTCCACAGGGTCAGAACCAGAATACTTGGGATTATCAAGTACACTGGGTAACACTGCGGTCGGAGCAGTCAGAACCAGAACCCCACAGATGAATGACTAAAAGTCTTCCTCCCTGTGGGTCTGTCCAGTGACGAAAGCTCTAAGATCCTCAGACTCCTGTGAAGAAGCAACAGAAACTTGTTAATTCACGGATCTACTGACTCAGTCATGGTTTGGTTTCACCAGAACCTGTCTGACAAATAAGATACTGAATATTCATAGATCTAAACCAGAAGCTGACCATCCCAGGATCTGAAGAAAGAATTACAGAACAATTTATGGGTTTGGGCTCAACATCAGGAACCTCAGGAAGAACCATCATGGAGACCACATGGAACAGTGGAGAACTGGACCTGGAAGAGAAGAACCTTCCAAAGAGAGGAAGACTAAAGTCCCCTCACAGAGCTCAGAAGGCCTCAGTAAAGGTCAGAGGTCAGGAACCAACCATCTGGAAGGCAGACTGGACAGAAATGGCCTCCCAGACCAGAGCTACTGCTGGCCCAACAATACACAAACATTCATCTCTTATTAACCAGAATCTGGAGGTTGGATTTTCCATCACATCAGGAGTAGAACCGATCCAAAACATAGCAGGGAGGTGGAGGTGTGATCTATCAGAGAACCAGATGAGGCAGAAGGGTGAACCAATACCAGACTAGGTTTTCCTGATGCAGGACTGTCTGTGGATCTGAGCTCCGCCCTTAGCAGCAGCTGGTGTGGTCTGCTTTGTCTATTTCTGAACCTGAAAGCACACAGTCTTTCAGCTAACTGTGGATCTATAGCTTCCTGGCTGACCCCAGGGTAAACCCAGAGGTCTGCACAGTGATCTGATCTCACAAGAGGTGGAATGAGAGAAGCAGTGAAGAGCACAGTCTGGTACTGGTGCAGTTAGTCCACCAGAAAGCAGCCCTTCACCAGGTAAATGGATGGGAGCACAGCACCTGGTCACATCACCAGAGTCTGGACAGTTGAAGTAGCCAAGATAACCTGAATAAGTCTTCCTTTTCTTAGTTGAAGTTGCATTAACACTGGAGTCCAAAGAGAACTCTGGGTACCAATTGGGCCCTGGGTACAAACTAGATTCTGGGAATCCAATGGACCCTGGGTACCAACTGGATCCCTAGTACCAAATGGACCCTGTGTACCAACTGGATCATGGGTACCAAATAAATCATATGTAACAACTGATCCCTGGGTACCAAATGGACCCTGGGTACCATCTGGACCCTGGGTACCAAATCGAGCCTGGGTACCAAATTGACCCTGGGTACCAAGTGGATCATGGGTACCAACCGAACCCTTGGTACCAAATGGATCATGGGTACCAAATGGACCCTGGGTACCAAATGCACCATGGGTACCAACTGAACCCTTGGTACCAAATGGATCATGGGTACCAAATGGACAAGGGCTACCAAATGCACCATGGGTACCAAATTGACCCTGGGTACCTAGTGGATCATGGGTACCAACTGAACCCTGGGTACCAAATGGACCCTGGGTACCAAATCGAGCCTGGGTACCAAATTGACCCTGGGTACCAAGTGGATCATGGGTACCAACCGAACCCTGGGTACCAAATGGATCATGGGTACCAACTGAACCCTTGGTATCAAATGGACCCTGGGTATCAAATGGACACTGGGTACCAAATGGACCCTGGGTACCAAATGCACCATGGGCACCAAATGGACCCTGGGTACCAAATGCACCATGGGTACCAACTGAACCCTTGGTACCAAATGGATCATGGGTACCAAATGGACAAGGGGTACCAAATGCACCATGGGTTACCAAATTGACCCTGGGTACCAAGTGGATCATGGGTACCTACTGAACCCTGGGTACCAAATGGATCATGGGTACCAACTGAACCCTGTGTATCAAATGGACCCTGGGTAGCACATTGACAATGGGTACCAAATAGACACTGGGTACCAAATGGACGATGGGTACCAAATGGATCATGGGTACCAAATAAATAATTTGTAACAACTGATCCCTGGGTACCAAATTGACCCTGGGTGCCATATGGACCCAGAGTACCAACTGCTGCCCCCTGTACTAACTGAACCCTGTGTATGAAATGGACCCTGTGTACCAACTGGGTCATGGGTACCAACTGGATCAGGACATTAAGTGGGTGGTTCTGGTTAACCCTGGGTATCAAATGGACACTGGGTATCAAATGGACACTGGGTACCGAATGGACGATGGGTACCGAATGGACGATGGGTAACGAATGGACGATGGGTAACGAATGGACAATGGGTACCAAATGGATCATGGGTACCAAATGGACACTGGGTACAAAATGGACACTGGGTACAAAATGGACACTGGGAGAAAAATAAAGAATTGTAACGTTGTGTTAAAGACCTCCACTCTTTCCAGATTATGTCAGAAACTCCCAGTAGTCCTGTCGTTCTGTCCTGAAATTCCAATAAAACTCTACAGAACAGAGAAACACACAGAGGACATCTGGGACGGACATGCCGGTCAACAGCAGGTGTGTCCCTCACCGTGGGGGTGGAAGCCAAAGATGTAGTTCTTGGTGGGGTCCAGATCCACGGTTTTAACCAGCTGGACAAACAAGAGTCATCAGGGATCCATGATCCATAAAGGAGAAACAGGTGAACCGGTTCTGGACTCACCGTCAGGGGGAAGTAGTCCCTAAAATACTCCCACACCGTCCACTTCCTCACCCACTGGGACCTGCGACCTCCTGTGGTGGGCGTGTCCCAGTCCAACCAAAGCCAACCAGCATACAGCAGGGCCACCATCCACCAATCAGAGAGAGCCAAGAGGACGAACGCAGCCAGACAGCACTGGGCTGGGGAAGAATGACAGGAGGACAGAGGGACTGATTACTGGACAAGACAGCACTGGGACAGAGACAAGTAACTGGTTTGGCTTTTTGGAACATTAAGTGGGTGGTTCTGGTTAATCTGAGATCTGACTAAAGCTGACCCTTAGTTCTCAGGTTGACTTACTGCAGCAGGAGATGATGATCAGAGGACTGATCAGAGGACAGGAGGACAGAGCAAAGGACAGAGCAGAGGACTGATAGGAGGATGGAAGATCTGATGAGGAACTAAAGTGATCAATAGAACCAGACCTCAGAACCCTGGATCTGGGTCTTTGATCCCAAACCAGAAAGACTTTCTATAAAGAGACCTCCTGTAGTCCTGGAGGTAAACCTCATCCTGGTCCTGCAGGTAAACCTCATCCTGTTCCTACAGATAAACCTCATCCTGGTCCTGCAGGTAAACCTCATCCTGGTTCTGCAGGTAAACCTCATCCTGGTTCTGCAGGTAAACCTCCTCCTGGTTCTGCAGGTAAACCTCATCCTGGTTCTGCAGATAAACCTCATCCTGGTCCTACAGATAAACCTCCTCCTGGTTCTGCAGATAAACCTCATCCTGGTCCTGCAGGTAAACCTCATCCTGGTCCTGCAGATAAACCTCCTCCTGGTTCTGCAGATAAACCTCATCCTGGTCCTGCAGGTAAACCTCCTCCTGGTTCTGCAGATAAACCTCATCCTGGTCCTGCAGATAAACCTCATCCTGGTTCTGCAGGTAAACCTCCTCCTGGTTCTGCAGATAAACCTCATCCTGGTTCTGCAGGTAAACCTCCTCCTGGTTCTGCAGGTAAACCTCCTCCTGGTTCTGCAGATAAACCTCATCCTGGTCCTACAGATAAACCTCCTCCTGGTTCTGCAGATAAACTTCATCCTGGTCCTGCAGGTAAACCTCATCCTGGTCCTGCAGATAAACCTCCTCCTGGTTCTGCAGATAAACCTCATCCTGGTCCTGCAGGTAAACCTCATCCTGGTTCTGCAGATAAACCTCATCCTGGTTCTGCAGATAAACCTCCTCCTGGTTCTGCAGGTAAACCTCCTCCTGGTTCTGCAGATAAACCTCCTCCTGGTTCTGCAGATAAACCTCCTCCTGGTTCTGCAGATAAACCTCATCCTGGTCCTGCAGATAAACCTCATCCTGGTCCTGCAGATAAACCTCATCCTGGTTCTGCAGATAAACTTCATCCTGGTCCTGCAGATAAACCTCATCCTGGTCCTGCAGATAAACCTCATCCTGGTCCTGCAGATTAACCTCATCCTGGTCCTACAGATAAACCTCATCCTGGTTCTGCAGATAAACCTCATCCTGGTTCTGCAGATAAACCTCATCCTGGTCCTACAGATAAACCTCATCCTGGTTCTGCAGATAAACCTCATCCTGGTTCTGCAGACAAACCTCCTCCTGGTTCTGCAGGTAAACCTCCTCCTGGTTCTGCAGATAAACCTCCTCCTGGTTCTGCAGATAAACCTCCTCCTGGTTCTGCAGATAAACCTCATCCTGGTCCTGCAGATAAACCTCATCCTGGTCCTGCAGATAAACCTCATCCTGGTTCTGCAGATAAACTTCATGCTGGTCCTGCAGATAAACCTCGTCCTGGTCCTACAGATAAACCTCATCCGGGTCCTACAGATAAACCTCATCCTGGTCCTGCAGATAAACCTCATCCTGGTTCTGCAGATAAACCTCATCCTGGTTCTGCAGATAAACCTCATCCTGGTCTTGCAGATAAACCTCATCCTGGTCCTACAGATAAACCTCATCCTGGTCCTGCAGATAAACCTCATCCTGGTCCTGCAGATAAACCTCATCCTGGTCCTGCAGATAAACCTCATCCTGGTTCTGCAGATAAACCTCATCCTGGTCCTACAGATAAACCTCATCCTGGTTCTGCAGATAAACCTCCTCCTGGTTCTGCAGATAAACTTCATGCTGGTCCTGCAGATAAACCTCGTCCTGGTCCTACAGATAAACCTCGTCCGGGTCCTACAGATAAACCTCATCCTGGTTCTGCAGATAAACCTCATCCTGGTCCTACAGATAAACCTCATCCTGGTCCTACAGATAAACCTCATCCTGGTTCTGCAGATAAACCTCATCCTGGTCCTGCAGATAAACCTCATCCTGGTCCTACAGATAAACCTCATCCTGGTCCTACAGATAAACCTCATCCTGATCCTGCAGGTAAACCTCATCCTGATCCTGCAGGTAAACCTCCTCCTGGTTCTGCAGATAGACCTCATCCTGGTCCTGCAGGTAAACCTCATCCTGGTCCTGCAGGTAAACCTCATCCTGGTCCTGCAGGTAAACCTCATCCTGGTCCTGCAGGTAAACCTCATCCTGGTCCTGCAGGTAAAACTAATCCTGGTCCTACAGATAAACCTCATCCTGGTCCTGCAGATAAACCTAATCCTGGTTATGCAGATAAACCTCATCCTGGTCCTGCAGATAAACCTCATCCTGGTCCTGCAGATAAACCTCATCCTGGTCCTGCAGGTAAACCTCATCCTGGTCCTGCAGGTAAACCTCATCCTGGTCCTGCAGGTAAAACTAATCCTGGTCCTACAGATAAACCTCATCCTGGTCCTGCAGATAAACCTAATCCTGGTTATGCAGATAAACCTCATCCTGGTCCTGCAGATAAACCTCATCCTGGTCCTGCAGATAAACCTCATCCTGGTCCTGCAGGTAAACCTCATCCTGGTCCTGCAGGTAAACCTCATCCTGGTCCTGCAGGTAAAACTAATCCTGGTCCTACAGATAAACCTCATCCTGGTCCTGCAGATAAACCTAATCCTGGTTATGCAGATAAACCTCATCCTGGTCCTGCAGATAAACCTCATCCTGGTTCTGCAGATAAACCTCATCCTGGTCCTGCAGATAAACCTCATCCTGGTCCTGCAGATAAACCTCATCCTGGTCCTGCAGATAAACCTCATCCTGGTTCTGCAGATAAACCTCATCCTGGTCCTGCAGATAAACCTCATCCTGGTTCTGCAGATAAACCTCATCCTGGTCCTGCAGATAAACCTCATCCTGGTTCTGCAGATAAACCTCATCCTGGTCCTACAGATAAACCTCGTCCTGGTCCTGCAGGTAAAACTAATCCTGGTCCTGCTGGGTCTGTAGATGATCTCCTGGAGTCCATAGAACCTCCTCAGATTCTGATGATCTCTCTGGTACCTGATCTAAAGGCTTTCTAAGGAGTTGGTTCCAGTTCTGGATCCAGCAGGAAGCTGTTGGACCGAGCAGAACCTCCAGGCAGAATCAGAACCTCTCACCCAGAGCCAGGAAGGAGAAGAGCCACTGCAGCACCGCGGCGGTCTGCAGCCTCCTCTGCAGCGGCACGTTCAGCGGGGCGAACTGGATCTTCATGCCGGGGGAGGGGCAGCGCAGGGCGGCCAGGGGAGCAGCTGCTGGGTCTGTGAGGAGCTTCTCCTGGAGGATCTAGAGAGCTTCTCCTCCACCAGAGGAGCAGCAGCTTCTAAACTTCACCAACTGCTGCAAAGTTTTACACGCTGCTGTTTCAGCGCATGCGCACTGGCCGCCGCGATGGGCGTGTTCCTGTTGGTCAATCAGTGACGGAATGTGACGGGGGCGCGCTTGAACAGGAGCCAAGTGCGTGCACGGTGGAGTCTGTGAAAAATCTGAGCTGCGTGGAGCTGCGTGGAGCCCAGGGGCGGACTTACAGGGAAAGGAGATAACTTATTGGGTTCCCGAAACCAGCAGGAGCCCCACATGTGAGGGGGCCTGCTGTGTTAGGGGGCCCCAGCTGTAAGGGGGCCTGCTGATTTGGGGCCCCAGCTGTGAGGGGGCCCTCTGGTTGCACCTTTAGGATATTCCTTCATGTTAGAAATGAAATAATTATGATTTAACATCAAATCAATGAAAAAAACATCATGAAGTTCTGCTCTTCCATCATTAGAAGATCTAGAGAGAAGAAGCAGATCTATGAGAGCTGATCTATGAGAGCTGATCTATGAAAGCAGAGCTGTGAGAGCAGATCTATGAGAGCTGATCTATGAAAGCAGAGCTGTGAGAGCAGATCTGAATAAATAAAAATTGTTACTTTTATGTCTGTTTAGAACAGATATTAATCTGTAAAGTTTTATTTTCTGAACATTTTCCAGATGAGTCTGAAATGTTCAGAGGATCAAATGTTTCTGGAGAGAAATATCAGCTGTGCTGCTGCCATCAACACCTTTGTTTCTAGATGTTGGAGCTTGGCCTGTTTTCCAGTGTAGTCCTGTTTCTCTGACTGTGACTAACTGGATGTGCTCTCTTCATCCTCTGACATGGGAGCTGGCTCGGAGCTCGTCTGCCTGGCTGTGTGTTTCCTGGACGGGGCCGCCTGTGGAGCTGGTTGACAGTTGCCTTTTGTATCTATGCTTCTTTTTCTATGTCTGCTTCTTTCTCACACTGCTTATCAGACGGATTTTAAAATGAATGAATCATCGGCCATTGAAAGCATCACAGAGCCTGAGAGACAGAACCAGTCTGGTTCCTTCACCAGAGACCTGGACCTGGATCCACCTGTGAGGGATAAATCAGGTTCACTGATTGGTTGATTGATTGATTGACAGGAGCAGCAGCTCCCTGATCAGAACCATCATCTCTGATGTTCTGAACCAACCAGACTTTAATGACTCTGATCCAGACCAACTGGACCTCCAGCAGAACCTCCGCCGTCCTGTCGGGACCGGTCCAGCAGGGGGCAGCATGTCAGCATGCGCCTCCTGCTACCGTAGAAGAAGAAGCGAAAACAAAACAAAGAAGAAGAGTTCGGAGCCGTTCCTGAGGTAAGGATAGGCCGAGGTGGACCTGGCTGGTTCTGTGAGGTTCGGTTCGGTTCGGTTCTCTGTTCTAAAACCAGCCGGCAGAACCTCCAGGCTGCTTCCATTATCGGACGGGTTCTGGTACGGCCTCGGCCTGCAGCCGAACCGGGTCAGCTGGTCTCCAGCGGTCTACGCTGGTCAGTCCGGACCCGGTTCTGGTGTGTTTGGTTCGGTTCTAGGTTCGGTTCTAAGGTATCAGCTGGAGAGCAGCAATGAACCAGACTCCATTGGAAAATAATAGAGTTTAAGGCTGACAGCGGATCCAGAACCAGTTCCATGTCCTGTTGGGTTTATATGGGTCACAGAGCAGAACCGGGTTCCGAACCTGGGCATCTGCTCCCTGGTCCCACACCTGCAGTTCGGTACCTGTGGTCCAGAGCCCATCAGAACCTGGTTCAGGGTTCCAGATCAGGCGGGTCAGTGTGAACAGCCCAGGAACTGGATCCTGGATCCTTCTCTCCTCTGATTGGTTAATCGGTTTCCCTCCTGGTTCCAGGTGTTTATCAGCTCATCCAATCAGCTGCTTTCCCTCAGATAGAAACCTTTAATCTGACTGGATGATCTGGTTGATCTAGATCTATAAAGTGACCCGATTACATGATGGGAGCACAGAAATAAACTGAATAGAATTTATTGAGCAGCTGAAAGAAGGCTGATCCTCCTGGTTCCTCCTGGTTCCTCCTGGATCCTCCTGGATCCTCCTGGTTCCTCCTGGATCCTCCTGGTTTGTCCTAGTTCCTCCTGGATCCTCCTGGTTCCTCCTGGTTTCTCCTAGTTCCTCCTGGTTCCTCCTGGATCCTCCTGGTTCCTCCTGGATCCTCCTGGTTCGTCCTAGTTCCTCCTGGATCCTCCTGGTTCCTCCTGGTTTCTCCTAGTTCCTCCTAGTTCCTCCTGGTTCCTCCTGGTCAGAGGAGGAGCGTAGAAACATCCTGTGTTCTGATTGGACCGTTTGGTTCTGGAATCAGATCATTACTTAGGTCACAGCTGATGTTCCGGTCCAGACTGATTCACCTGAGCTCCTCCTAGTTCCTCCTGGTTCCTCCTAGTCAGAGGAGGAGCGTAGAAACATCCTGTGTTCTGATTGGATCGTTTGGCTCTGGAATCAGATCATTACTTAGGTCACAGCTGACGTTCCGGTCCAGACTGATTCACCTGAGCTCCTCCTAGTTCCTCCTGGTTCCTCCTGGTTCCTCCTAGTTCCTCCTGGTTCCTCCTGGTTTCTCCTAGTTCCTCCTGGTTCCTCCTGGTCAGCGGAGGAGCGTAGAAACATCCTGTGTTCTGATTGGACCGTTTGGTTCTGGAATCAGATCATTACTTAGGTCACAGCTGACGTTCCGGTCCAGACTGATTCACCTGAGCTCCTCTTAGTTCCTCCTGGTTCCTCCTAGTTCCTCCTAGTTCCTCCTGGTTCCTCCTAGTTCCTTCCTTGTTCCTCCTGGTTCCTCCTAGTTCCTCCTGGATCCTCCTGGTTCCTCCTAGTTCCTCCTGGTTCCTCCTGGTTCCTCCTAGTTCCTCCTGGTTCCTCCTAGTTCCTCCTGGTTCCTCCTGGTCAGAGGAGGAGCGTAGAAACATCCTGTGTTCTGATTGGACCATTTGGTTCTGGAATCAGATCATCACTTAGGTCACAGCTGACGTTCTGGTCCAGACTGATTCACCTGAGCTCCTCCTAGTTCCTCCTGGTTCCTCCTGGTTTCTCCTAGTTCCTCCTAGTTCCTCCTGGTTCCTCCTGGTTTCTCCTAGTTCCTCCTGGTTCCTCCTAGTTCCTCCTGGTTCCTCCTGGTTCCTCCTAGTTCCTCCTGGTTTCTCCTAGTTCCTCCTAGTTCCTCCTGGTTCCTCCTGCTCAGAGGAGGAGCGTAGAAACATCCTGTGTTCTGATTGGACCATTTGGTTCTGGAATCAGATCACTTGGGTCACAGCTGACCTTCTGGTCCAGACTGATTCACCTGAGCTCCTCCTAGTTCCTCCTGGTTCCTCCTAGTTCCTCCTGGTTCCTCCTGGTTCCTCCTAGTTCCTTCTGGTTTCTCCTAGTTCCTCCTAGTTCCTCCTGGTTCCTCCTGGTCAGAGGAGGAGCGTAGAAACATCCTGTGTTCTGATTGGACCGTTTGGTTCTGGAATCAGATCATTACTTAGGTCACAGCTGACGTTCCGGTCCAGACTGATTCACCTGAGCTCCTCTTAGTTCCTCCTGGTTCCTCCTAGTTCCTCCTAGTTCCTCCTGGTTCCTCCTGGTTCCTCCTAGTTCCTCCTGGTTCCTCCTGGTTCCTCCTAGTTCCTCCTGGATCCTCCTGGTTCCTCCTAGTTCCTCCTGGTTCCTCCTGGTTCCTCCTGGTTCCTCCTAGTTCCTCCTGGTTCCTCCTAGTTCCTCCTGGTTCCTCCTGGTCAGAGGAGGAGCGTAGAAACATCCTGTGTTCTGATTGGACCATTTGGTTCTGGAATCAGATCACTTGGGTCACAGCTGACCTTCTGGTCCAGACTGATTCACCTGAGCTCCTCCTAGTTCCTCCTGGTTCCTCCTGGTTTCTCCTAGTTCCTCCTGGTTCCTCCTGGTTTCTCCTAGTTCCTCCTGGTTCCTCCTGGTCAGAGGAGGAGCGTAGAAACATCCTTTGTTCTGATTGGACCGTTTGGTTCTGGAATCGGATCACTTGGGTCACAGCTGACGTTCCGGTCCAGACTGATCCACCTGAGCTCCTTCCTTTGTCTGTGTCAATCTCAGGTTGCCATGGAAACTGCTGTTGCCACGGAGGCGGATGCAGGCGTTGCCGGGGGGAACCAGACTGAGGTCCAGCCTTCTGACAAAGATCCACCACAGCCCCGGCGCCGGCCCGTAGGAAGGAGGGTCCAGAGAGCGAAGAGGCGGGGCCCCGTGGAAAAGAGGCGGGGCCAGAAGCAGAAGAGGCGGGGCCAGGAAAAGAAGGAAGGCGTGACGGTGAAGAGAACATGGGGCGGGAAGCGGCGCTGGGATAAGAAGCACTACTGCGTGTTCTGCCGCCGTCCACAGGTGAAGATCGCCCGCCATCTTCTCAGGAAGCACGCCGAGCAGCCTGAGGTGCTGGCTGCCAGCGCCCTGCCCACCGGGTCCAAACATCGCCACCTGCTGCTGGAGCACCTGCGCTGCAGAGGGAACTACCTGCACAACATCGAGGTTAGTTTGGGGTGAAGGTAGGTCCTCCAGCGGGGTCAGGTCCTTTAGGAGTGTGTCAGGTCCTCCAGTGGGGTCTCAGGTCCTCCAGTGGGGTCAGGTCCTCCAGGTGTGTCTCAGGTCCTCCAGGTGTGTCTCAGGTCCTTTAGGAGTGTGTCAGGTCCTCCACTGGGGTTAGGTCCTTCAGGTGTGTCTCAGGTCCTTCAGGTGTGTCTCAGGTCCTCCAGTGGGGTCAGGTCCTCCAGTGGGGTCAGGTCCTCCAGGTGTGTGTCAGGTCCTCCAGTGGGGTCAGGTCCTCCAGGTGTGTGTCAGGTCCTCCAGTGGGGTCAGGTCCTCCAGTGGGGTCAGGTCCTCCAGGTGTGTGTCAGGTCCTCCAGTGGGGTCAGGTCCTCCAGTGGGGTCAGGTCCTCCAGGTGTGTCTCAGGTCCTCCAGTGGGGTCAGGTCCTCCAGTGGGGTCAGGTCCTCCAGGTGTGTGTCAGGTCCTCCAGTGGGGTCAGGTCCTCTAGGTGTGTCTCAGGTCCTCCAGGTGTGTCTCAGGTCCTTTAGGAGTGTGTCAGGTCCTCCAGGTGTGTCTCAGGTCCTCCAGGTGTGTCTCAGGTCCTTTAGGAGTGTGTCAGGTCCTCCACTGGGGTTAGGTCCTTCAGGTGTGTCTCAGGTCCTTCAGGTGTGTCTCAGGTCCTCCAGGTGTGTCTCAGGTCCTCCAGTGGGGTCAGGTCCTCCAGGTGTGTGTCAGGTCCTCCAGTGGGGTCAGGTCCTCCAGGTGTGTGTCAGGTCCTCCAGGTGTGTGTCAGGTCCTCCAGTGGGGTCAGGTCCTCCAGGTGTGTGTCAGGTCCTCCAGGTGTGTCTCAGGTCCTCCAGTGGGGTCAGGTCCTCCAGGTGTGTGTCAGGTCCTCCAGTGGGGTCAGGTCCTCCAGTGGGGTCAGGTCCTCCAGGTGTGTGTCAGGTCCTCCAGTGGGGTCAGGTCCTCCAGGTGTGTGTCAGGTCCTCCAGTGGGGTCAGGTCCTTCAGGTGTGTCTCATGTCCTCCAGGTGTGTGTCAGGTCCTCCAGGTGTGTGTCAGGTCCTCCAGGTGTGTGTCAGGTCCTCTAGTGGTGCGTTCAGATTGGACGTGGTGGCTGTGCTGACTGCGGTTGATTACCATAGAATCCAAACCGTGCAGTGAAGCGTCCACTGGTGAACTCCCAAGGTGAGAGCGTTCACTGCCCCTCCCCCACCTGCTGCTCCTGAATAGAGCTGAGGTTAAACAGAACCACCGCATGGAAAGAGAGGAGCGATGATCGCTGAAGATAACACCAGCTGATCTTTTCTATGAAATCGCGACACGGCAGCCAATCAGGGACTGGATGGAGGAATCCAGAAAATCAGCCAGTTTTCCCAGTTATGCTTAATAACCGCTGCTGGTCTGGTAGCAAGAATGACTTTGTTGAGTGAGGCACCATGATGTCTTTGGCACCTGACCGTAAAATAGGAAGATGTTTGGGAAAATATTGTTGATTATTCAGTTAAACCACAGATTACAATCTAAAGTCAGGAGCAACTGTTCAGTTTTATCAGAGCTGAATCAGAGAAGTGAACGCAGCCCCGATGTTTGTCTTTAGGTCTGAGAAACGTAGCGAGTTAGCAACTGTTCAGTTTTATCAGAGCTGAATCAGAGAAGTGAACGCAGCCCCGATGTTTGTCTTTAGGTCTGAGAAACGTAGCGAGTTAGCAACTGTTCAGTTTTATCAGAGCTGAATCAGAGAAGTGAACGCAGCCCCGATGTTTGTCTTTAGGTCTGAGAAACGTAGCGAGTTAGCAACTGTTCAGTTTTATCAGAGCTGAATCAGAGAAGTGAACGCAGCCCCGATGTTTGTCTTTAGGTCTGAGAAACGTAGCGAGTTAGCAACTGTTCAGTTTTATCAGAGCTGAATCAGAGAAGTGAACGCAGCCCCGATGTTTGTCTTTAGGTCTGAGAAACGTAGCGAGTTAGCAACTGTTCAGTTTTATCAGAGCTGAATCAGAGAAGTGAACGCAGCCCCGATGTTTGTCTTTAGGTCTGAGAAACGTAGCGAGTTAGCAACTGTTCAGTTTTATCAGAGCTGAATCAGAGAAGTGAACGCAGCCCCGATGTTTGTCTTTAGGTCTGAGAAACGTAGCGAGTTAGCAACTGTTCAGTTTTATCAGAGCTGAATCAGAGAAGTGAACGCAGCCCCGATGTTTGTCTTTAGGTCTGAGAAACGTAGCGAGTTAGCAACTGTTCAGTTTTATCAGAGTGAATCAGAGAAGTGAACGCAGCCCCGATGTTTGTCTTTAGGTCTGAGAAACGTAGCGAGTTAGCAACTGTTCAGTTTTATCAGAGTGAATCAGAGAAGTGAACGCAGCCCCGATGTTTGTCTTTAGGTCTGAGGAACGTAGCGAGTTAGCAACTGTTCTGTTTTATCAGAGCTGAATCAGAGAAGTGAACGCAGCCCCGATGTTTGTCTTTAGGTCTGAGAAACGTAGCGAGTTAGCAACTGTTCAGTTTTATCAGAGTGAATCAGAGAAGTGAACGCAGCCCCGATGTTTGTCTTTAGGTCTGAGGAACGTAGCGAGTTAGCAACTGTTCTGTTTTATCAGAGCTGAATCAGAGAAGTGAACGCAGCCCCGATGTTTGTCTTTAGGTCTGAGAAACGTAGCGAGTTAGCAACTGTTCAGTTTTATCAGAGCTGAATCAGAGAAGTGAACGCAGCCCCGATGTTTGTCTTTAGGTCTGAGAAACGTAGCTAGTTAGCAACTGTTCAGTTTTATCAGAGCTGAAACAGAGAAGTGAACGCAGCCCCGATGTTTGTCTTTAGGTCTGAGAAACGTAGCTAGTTAGCAACTGTTCAGTTTTATCAGAGCTGAATCAGAGAAGTGAACGCAGCCCCGATGTTTGTCTTTAGGTCTGAGAAACGTAGCGAGTTAGCAACTGTTCAGTTTTATCAGAGCTGAATCAGAGAAGTGAACGCAGCCCTGATGTTTGTCTTTAGGTCTGAGAAACGTAGCGAGTTAGCAACTGTTCAGTTTTATCAGAGCTGAATCAGAGAAGTGAACGCAGCCCTGATGTTTGTCTTTAGGTCTGAGGAACGTAGCGAGTTAGCAACTGTTCAGTTTTATCAGAGCTGAATCAGAGAAGTGAACGCAGCCCTGATGTTTGTCTTTAGGTCTGAGAAACGTAGCGAGTTAGCAACTGTTCAGTTTTATCAGAGCTGAATCAGAGAAGTGAACACAGCCCCGATGTTTGTCTTTAGGTCTGAGAAACGTAGCGAGTTAGCAACTGTTCCGTTTTATCAGAGCTGAATCAGAGAAGTGAACGCAGCCCCGATGTTTGTCTTTAGGTCTGAGAAACGTAGCGAGTTAGCAACTGTTCAGTTTTATCAGAGCTGAATCAGAGAAGTGAACGCAGCCCCGATGTTTGTCTTCAGGTCTGGGAAACGTAGCGAGTTAGCAACTGTTCAGTTTTATCAGAGCTGAATCAGAGAAGTGAACGCAGCCCCGATGTTTGTCTTTAGGTCTGAGAAACGTAGCGAGTTAGCAACTGTTCAGTTTTATCAGAGCTGAATCAGAGAAGTGAACGCAGCCCCGATGTTTGTCTTTAGGTCTGAGAAACGTAGCGAGTTAGCAACTGTTCAGTTTTATCAGAGCTGAATCAGAGAAGTGAACGCAGCCCCGATGTTTGTCTTTAGGTCTGAGAAACGTAGCGAGTTAGCAACTGTTCAGTTTTATCAGAGCTAAATCAGAGAAGTGAACGCAGCCCCGATGTTTGTCTTTAGGTCTGAGAAACGTAGCGAGTTAGCAACTGTTCAGTTTTATCAGAGCTGAATCAGAGAAGTGAACGCAGCCCCGATGTTTGTCTTTAGGTCTGAGAAACGTAGCGAGTTAGCAACTGTTCAGTTTTATCAGAGCTGAATCAGAGAAGTGAACGCAGCCCCGATGTTTGTCTTTAGGTCTGAGAAACGTAGCGAGTTAGCAACTGTTCAGTTTTATCAGAGCTGAATCAGAGAAGTGAACGCAGCCCCGATGTTTGTCTTTAGGTCTGAGAAACGTAGCTAGTTAGCAACTGTTCAGTTTTATCAGAGCTGAAACAGAGAAGTGAACGCAGCCCCGATGTTTGTCTTTAGGTCTGAGAAACGTAGCTAGTTAGCAACTGTTCAGTTTTATCAGAGCTGAATCAGAGAAGTGAACGCAGCCCCGATGTTTGTCTTTAGGTCTGAGAAACGTAGCGAGTTAGCAACTGTTCAGTTTTATCAGAGCTGAATCAGAGAAGTGAACGCAGCCCTGATGTTTGTCTTTAGGTCTGAGAAACGTAGCGAGTTAGCAACTGTTCAGTTTTATCAGAGCTGAATCAGAGAAGTGAACGCAGCCCCGATGTTTGTCTTTAGGTCTGAGAAACGTAGCAAGTTAGCAACTGTTCAGTTTTATCAGAGCTGAATCAGAGAAGTGAACGCAGCCCCGATGTTTGTCTTTAGGTCTGAGAAACGTAGTGAGTTAGCAACTGTTCAGTTTTATCAGAGCTGAAACAGAGAAGTGAACGCAGCCCCGATGTTTGTCTTTAGGTCTGAGAAACGTAGCGAGTTAGCAACTGTTCAGTTTTATCAGAGCTGAATCAGAGAAGTGAACGCAGCCCCGATGTTTGTCTTTAGGTCTGAGAAACGTAGCGAGTTAGCAACTGTTCAGTTTTATCAGAGCTGAATCAGAGAAGTGAACGCAGCCCCGATGTTTGTCTTTAGGTCTGAGAAACGTAGCTAGTTAGCAACTGTTCAGTTTTATCAGAGCTGAAACAGAGAAGTGAACGCAGCCCCGATGTTTGTCTTTAGGTCTGAGAAACGTAGCGAGTTAGCAACTGTTCAGTTTTATCAGAGCTGAATCAGAGAAGTGAACGCAGCCCCGATGTTTGTCTTTAGGTCTGAGAAACGTAGCGAGTTAGCAACTGTTCAGTTTTATCAGAGCTGAATCAGAGAAGTGAACGCAGCCCCGATGTTTGTCTTTAGGTCTGAGAAACGTAG